CCAAGCAGGCAGCCCTGCTTCCCCCCCTGGGCCGCCAGCACCTGCGCCCTCACAGGGAGCCAGGGAGTGAGGGTCCAGCCTCCTCCTCGGGGTCCCGGGGCCTCACTCGTCCGGTACTCCCCACCAAGCCCCAGAGCCCTAAGGAGGATGCTGTGGACAGGATCTTCCAGGAGAGTTCTCCGGGGCAGCCCTCCCCCAACCATCCAGCTGGGGGGGCTCCGTCTCACCCTGGCGACATCAGGGTGTCCAGCAGCCTCTCCACAACAGCCACCGGTGCTCCCCACCTGGCCTCCTGGCTCATCGTCCCCCAGGCCCTGCCGGCCGCTTCTCGCTGCCGCCACCTGCTTCAGGGACACGTTTTGCGTCCCCTCACTCACACGTGACTCAAGTCGGGGCCTCTCAGCCCCCCGAGCCCCCTGAAGCCCCCGGAGGATCCTGGGGAACAGGCTCTCCGAGGAGTTCGGTTCCCAAGAACCCAGTGTTGAGGCGCTGTTGTCATCATGGGGCCACAGGGATCAGACACATTGCCCGTTACGAAGGGTAAACACACAGGGTGCACAGGGTGGTCAACCCACGTCTGCAAGCAACTTAACCAGGTCACCCGAGGAGCCTCGTGACATCAGCACACACAAAAGGACACTGGCGTCCACCCACCGGTGGCACCCGGACAGGATGGATGCCTAGCTTCCCCCCGCCATGTGATCAGCTTACAGGAAAACTACTGGAGGACACGTCACACCTACAGCTCTGGAGAGAGGACAAACACACCTGTAAGAGCTCCAGCCATTTTCAAAGCTCAGGATGCAGGAACGTGTTGGATGCCTTGGTGGGGGAAGTGGGCTCAAGCCCCTCACTAAAGGCTGAGCATCCTTCCGCCAAACAGGATTTTAAGGATAAGAGGATTTCACGTTGTATTTCTTTCTTAGAAATTCATAAAATTACAAATGAAATGCAAAGCCCAACCTTTCACGGTGGGGACCTCAGCGATCCAGCTGCGGCAGACGCTCCTGGCTGACCCGACGGACACGCACGTCAGCACGTGTCCCACGGTGGGTCGAGGGAGAAGTTCTGCACAACAGGAATTCAGCTCCTGGACCCTTAAATGTGGGATGAGCGTGGCCATGACTGTGGGCTATTCCTACGTGAAAGACAAAACCCACGCAGCTGACTCAACACGGTGCCCTGAAAGTAACCTCGGGACCGACCAGGTGGAAACGCCTCACTCCATCTTTTTCATGCCACCTGTCTTTGGAGAATTTTCACAGAGGGGAAGAGATGTGTCTAATTTACTTGTAATTTTATTCTATGAAAGAAAGGTCCACAAAAATTAATGAAAAATGTAAAACTGAAAGTTAAACCGTTTTCCCGTTGTACTTCCCTGCTGGGATGAGGTTCGGCTTTCTGTGCTGTCGGCGCCACCCCAGATCCAAGCCACCTGCCCGCCCGCCGTCCAGCCGGCCTGATGCGGGGGACACTGTGGTCTCCCCCACTCTGTCTCGGCAAGGGGGCATCCTCGCCAACCCCTGGGGGAAGTGAGGGTCCCCCCCCCACCGTGCTCATCAGGGACAGGTGGTGGTGAGGCCGTGGGCAAGGCACACGGCACACACAGTGGTGGACGCGGGATGGGCAGCCACCCTGGCAAAGTCTGGTGGCTCCTCAGAAAGTGAACCCTGAGCCACCGTGGGACCCAGCGGCTCTGCTCCCAGGTACGCACCCAAGAGAAGTGACAACACATGTCCACACAAACAGCTGTGCAAAAATGTTCAGGGCACTGTTCACAACAGCCAAAAAGTAGAAACAACCCAAATGTCCACCAATGGTTGAGTGAAGAAACATGTGGTGTGACAACTAATATTTAGCCATAAAAAGGAATGAAATTCTGACCCAGGCTACGTGGATGGACCTTGAAAACACTCTGCTCAGTGAAAGAAGCCAGACACAAAAGGCCACGTGTTGTGTGATTCCGTTTCCAAGAAACATCCAGAACTGGCAAAACCACCGAGACAGAAAGCAGGCTGGTGCCACTGGGGCCTGCGGGTGGTGGGGAGTGACAGCTGACGGGTCCGGGGCTTCTGTAGGGGGAAATGATCTGGGGTGAGACGGTGGTGACGGCTGCACAAGTGTGTGAACAAACTACTGGGTTGTGCACCTTGAGGTGTGAACTGCACAGTATGTGAACCACATTTCAACGAAGAAAAACGTGCCCTTTCGTCATGCATGTTAGGGATTTTTCTAAAGTATACGATCAGAAACATGTGAACACATGAGTGCGTTTTGTGATCAAGACGTTGGTTATAACTGCAAAAAACAGATACGATCAAGTATTTTAAAAACAGGACTAGTAAAATGTTTACAAACATGAAATATGCAGAAATTAAATTTTCAAAGAATTGGCTGCCAAGCAGCAAGAGCACACTTCTGCTCCGCGTGTGCAGCCTCCAAACCCAAAAGAATGAAGGAGCAGTTGCTGTTTTGGTGACTAGAGCAGCCTGTAGGGCTGACCCTCCCAGACAGTCACCACGGAGCACAAGACACAGTGATCTGAAGGCTTGAAAGCAACTAAAGCAAGCAGGAAT